AAATCGGATCGGAACTGAAAAAACGTGGATCGCCCATCTCTACAATAAACACATAGATTCTGAGTTCTGAGTTCTTTTAACAAACCCAGTCCTAGGCTGTGAGGGGTCAGACTGTTCAGCAGTGGAATAGTCTTACAAATTACTGTTCAGGTAATGCACTGCTTCATCTAGACTAAATCTGTATGTAGAAATGTCAGCCTGTAAGTTCAGCCTGTAAAAATTGTTAAATGACTTATTAGCATTGCTACTTAATAGCTAACATCATCTCCTGTGTTTGTTTATTAGATTAGGGAGAGATGGTGGTGATTATAAGAAATGTAAGAAATTCTTTTCCCACCTTATTGAATTGGAGAGCTGATTTAGTTGAGGCTGGAGTGGGTCTTTCTGTGGAAAGTCTTTAAAATTTGGTATTTTTATTTAATGATGACCGTGAAGTCAGTGGTGTCATGTGACTGCCTGGTACGGGTGATGACTTTTGTATCTCTGTGTACGCTCACTGTGGGAGTCATGCACAGGTGGATTCGCATCCCATAATGCCAGCGTGTAATCTGGAGCAATTCGGTCAAGCAGCCCTCTAGAAGAATCTCCAGGCCAATTAGGGAAAAGGCAGCAGGTTAAAATTGACTGTCATCTTAAAATGTATTGGTGAAACGCAAAACCAGCCTCTTGGCAACTGCTGGTCTGTTTTATGGTAAGCCGTGACATTGGGCGGCGACCAGATATTATGGGATGGATTTCAGAGGGTGGTTGGGGGGCGTTGTGACGTACACAAGCATGTCCTTCACCTACTCTTATAAATTACAATGCTGGTATCCTTTGATCACCTCAGCATTGATATGCTTATTATAAACATTGCTAAATGGTTTCTCCCCCCCCTTCAAACACTACCATGGTCTTTGACCCCGTTGGTACTATAAAATTGTGATTGTGCTTCACAGGGGTTTCGGCTCAATCGTTTGCCTCCCTCGCATGAAATACATGCATCCGAAGCGGCCCGTCCCCCCACAGCTAGCGTGCGTTTGGCTGCCCGTGCGCTTACCGTTGATTTCGCTGCTTATTTATAGAGCCCATTAAAGCGCAGCAGCGGCTGGGCGTTGATACGTTACGCCCTTAGCAGCTGACCTGAGATCATTTAGCTCGTAACAGTTGAGGTTATTACCAGCTAGCGCCGCGCTCGCTCTAAATCAGCGAGGTCGTAAAGGGTGACACTCTCAGAAAGACACTCCTCTTTTTGTTTACCTCCGGCGCGTGCCGGATGTGTGCCGTACCTAGGGTTTGTTTTAATGATTAATTTCGTAACTGGATGGGCAATGTGCTCTGGAGATTACTTTTATAGCCTGTAATTTGTGAAATTTGATCTCAGTTGGGGCAGACTTAAAATGAGCAGAGAATTTAAATTTTCTGGGAAGCAAAGGATTTATAAAAAAATTATTTAGCTAGGCTTTCTGTGTCATGTGCTGGATTGCTGGCATCTACAAGCACATCCTCTTAGGACAGGCACGAAGATTTGTGTGCGTAAGCTTTGTGTGGTTTTCTGTTTAAAGGTGATCAGGTGATTCCTCAAGTTCCCAGTTTAGCCACCTTTTAATGACATGGTAAACCCCCCCGGGACAGCCCACCCTCCCCTGTACAGCTGCAGTTTGCTGTAAATATGTAATGCGAGCTCAGCCGTGCGTGCAGAAGTACGTGGTGTGTACAGGAGAACATGCTGGACTCCCCTGTGCTAAGCATGGTCAGGATGTGCCGCAGCTCACAGAAGCCTAACCTCTCAAGAAGGCCGTTTGATCTCTCCTGCTGAGCGAGGCGGCTAACAGAGAAGTGCGTCCACATGTTCCTCGTTCTACCTGGGGCTTGCTCTGTTCGGCCTTCTGAGTGAAATCTGCGGATTTGGTTTTGGGGCCTTAAGTTTTGCCTTAAATATTTCATTCTGTTTTAGCCCTGTCTGTTCTGCCGCTGTCGCAGCCCGGCCGTGGTTTGGGTCTGTTGTGGTGTTGAATCTGCTTCTGATCAGAATCATTTACTTTTTCTGGGTAAGTGGTAAGTCTTAAGCAGCATGGTGATGAAACGCCCCCCACCCCACCCCGGGAGTCATGTGATGGAGCTAAGTTTGTGCCTCCCGGCCCCTGGCTACTCTTTCTCTGCCTCTCACAGAATTACTCGCGCGCATGTCCTTCATTTCTGTGGTGAATCAGGAAGTGCAAGTTGATTTCCAAGACCAAGATTTTCATCCAGTTTTTGGCAGATTTGTTGATGTGCGGTGGTGGTTTCTCTTGTCTGATGCAGCCTAAACTTCTTGTTGGGCCCCATTCTGGGAAAATAAGGCCGCGCTCCCAGAGCAGCTGTTGCTGACGGAATAACAGGAGATGCGCCGTGCCGGATGCGCCGCTGCAGTGTTCCATTTTTCTGAAGTCGTGCAACTTATGCAACCAGAGTTTATCTCTAGGATATAGAAAAGGCCGCTTGAATCTGATTTATGAGTGTGTTAATGCGTATAGTGTTATATCCATAAATCCATTCACATTCACCGAGCTGCTACCGCTCACTATTCACCTTTGAACTACTCTGTCTACTTTTTTTTTTCTTTGGAGGGGTGGCTGTGAAACCGTCGATTTTTGTTTTTTCACAAAATTCTTTCTCACAAACATCTGTGACTATTAAACACATCTGATGTCATACTTTTATTGGCAACTGGTAAAGTTTAATCACTTGTGCATGCTCAATACTGCACAATAATAAATTTTCGTACTTCCATTTTTTAATATTTTCCTCAATTAATTACAGCTTTGCAGTACATAACATCTGTTAAATTGAAAAAATATTGTCAGTTCATACTGTACACGATAGCAAAACGGGTGTGTGCTGGTCTGTCCCGCCTCACAGTGACCCCCCAAAGTGTGCCAGTCTTGCAGAATCCCTCCGTCGATCACTGGCCCACCATCCAGTGTAGCTTTCTGTGCCGGTACCGACCCGCTTTCTCCTTGGCCGCGTTGACGCATGCGTTGTGCTTGTTGCTCTGCAAGTGGTTCCAGTACTTGATGAGCTCGTTTGGCTGGAACTGGTGGGACGTGATCAGATGGCTGTACTTGCAGCTGGAGTAGGAGACGCGCCAGTGGTTGAACACAAACTCATTGGGGGGGGGCACGGGGTCAATACGCAGCTTGGCTAGGCAAATCCCTACATAGACGTCCTCCAAGTGCAAGCGCCGGATGCTCAGAGAGGCCCGGTAGATCTTTTGGGCTAAGTCGCCGGAGAACACATAGCCGGTCCCAGAGCAGAAGACCGGGTACCGCTCACTCGGGTACAGTTCAGGCGGCATGTACCACTTGCTGTCTTTGTTCCGGTTTGGGGCGTAGCCTCTCATCAGGTAGCCCGTGAAATAGTTCTGTTTTGGTGGAAGGTCTGGCTTGAGCAGTTTATGAACGAGATAGTCTGTGTTGACGAACATGTCGCTGTCTGTCTTCATGACGTAGGCTGTGTGCGGACAGTGTGTGGCCACCCAGTTCATCCCCATCAGGGTCTTGATGGTTAGGTTGTAGTAGGTGTCCATGTACTCCTGCTGGATGATGTCATGGTGCTGCCTGCTCTCCTCCTCGATGGAGCGCTGCTGGTAGGAGTTGCGGTTCTTCCCCAGTCCCAGGAGGAACAGCCGTACGAAATCCAAGCCGGAGGCCACGCTGTCGTTGCCCCAGGTCTGCCTGATGGCGTTTCTGGCGTCTGTCTGGCCAGGCTCCGCCGCGATCAGGAGCACCAGGAACGGCTTCCTGTCCAGGCATTTGTCGGGCTCGTTGATGATGTAGCGGAACGGCTGTGCTATGAAGCGGCCTCCCGGCCCCGACTCCCCGTTCAGGCTACCGTTGGCGCTCAGGGAGTTCTCCAGGCCCGTCACCCCCTGCAGGGACCCCCCTGCCTCAGCCTGGTGAGAGCTGCTGTTGGCCGCCATCTTGGGGGGCATGGGGAGGGAATCTTTCCAGATGCCCCTCAGCGCGCTCTGGTTGGTCTCGCTCTTCTGTGAGCGGAAACCGCCCCGCACCGTGTAGGCGACCGGGTTTTCCCTCCGGCCGCTCCTACCTAGGAGCCAGTCCTGGTGGCTGAAGAGGACGACGACGCCCACCAGGGAGGCGAGGGAGAGCAGGCCGGCCACGTGGGAGCGGAAGAGTGACCTCTTGACGTTCCAGGTCATCTTGATCAGACAGCAGTGTCGCCGCCTCCACTGCATGATGCAGACGCGAAGCGCTCCGCCGCGCTGTGCTCACGTTAATTGGAATCAGATGTGCATCTTGAGCTCCGTTGGCCTCATCGGCAGTGGCAGCTCCTTGGGCCCCCAGTGCAGTAGTGGGGCAGCTGACACATCCTGCACATAAGCCTCTGGACCCCCTCACTGCAATATTTCCCGCACGTCAGCCGTTCATGCCTCAGTGTATCCGCATAAGAATCTCTGGGTCTTCAGATGGCGTGCACCATGGTCATCTGGAAGAGACAAGAGAGGAGAGATCAAAGCGCGGAGAGACATGGAATCGTCTCGCCATGACTAACCATCAAGTTTCAGCGTAACGTGAAACCTCAGTATCGAGCTGGAGGTTTTTGTACAGTGCCGCGGAGGATTTCCCCCTCCCCCATCTCAGCTGCAAGTTTTATTTAGTAAGTCTTAATGCATGCAAAAAATTTGTTGGTAACCGGATGATTGGGTTGCTCTGCATGCATGTGAAAGACAGTCATAAAATGTGACACAGGTGTAGGACTTGCGATGTGGTATTATCGACCACAACCCCCCCTGCACTGACACTCCGCTCTCAGCGGCAGGCCAGGAAGTGCTGTCACGATGAATTGTCAGAGTCCAGGAGAACCTGATGCAGAATTCATAGACTGCAGATGGCGATAACAGCTTTCACCTGACGTTCGCCTCGCACATATCCATCTGGTTGGCTGTGGTTTGGCTCGTCGAAAAATAAGTTCCTGTCCTTATGTGATGTAGCCTGACAGTTCCTGATAAGCTCGCTCTTTAACTCCACGTTATCCTCTTTTTGTGAGTTCAGAACTATGGCTTTGGGCGCGGGCAGCTCTTGGTGCTGTCTCTCGTTTCTGGTGTGTTTCACAGCTACCTGCAAGCGACAGAGCGCTTTCACCTTTTCAACAGTCTGTTTACTCAGCTCGGGAGACAGACGGTTCGTGCTGGGATTTTAAAGTTTAACGGGTGGCAGATCCGTACCGGTTTTGATGTGTGGAATATTTATTTGATTTTTTTCATCACTGTGAAAAGGTTGCATTTCTTGAAGTTTCCAGCGTTCCTGTGCCCTTCGTTCTGAATAAGGATGGTCCTCGGGTTTATAAATTAAGAGCTTGTCCAGAAGAATTTGATTTTAAAGTCAGACTGGCCGGTTTGCCCTGCTTTAGCCATCCTGATTAGTCCGCTAAAATTGCATCCATCGCTCAAACGCTATGAGCTCAGACAGGTTTCCTTCATCTCTAATAAACTGGTAAGGCAGCTCCTGGCGTCGGTCCGAAAGGTCATTTGTGACAGGTTCCCAGCCACTGGATTTATGCATGGCTCATTTATCAATCTGCCCTGACCGGCCCTGACAAATGCAAACAAAACCCAGTGAATATTTATCTACCAAAGATCTTCAAGTTAAATATGTTTGGACATAAATGCATAATTACTGTGCGTGTTGGTATGAAAAAAATGTTAATCGCTAGATTTATTGTTCTTTTGTTTATGTGGGTTAATGGAAGGTTAGTATTCTGGCGTTTATGGATTGCACTATGGTAATGCGGGGAATAGGTCACACACACACACACACACACACACAC